AAAGCTAATTGACCAGTTAAAAAGTAAAGTGAAAAAGTTACTAAGCCTAGTTTACAATTATATTTAGGTTTATAAACTAAAAAGATGTCAGTGCCCGTATCAGCATTAATGCCTCTAAGGTATTAGCAGCATTAATCTTAAATTAGGATCCTATAATAAACTTAGCGGAGCAAATTTTATGTAATTATTTTAACTCATAAATGTTAACCTTAAACTTCTAAGGTTTGACTTGCCATCTTTTTTCTCAATAACGTTATGGTAGGACTTGCTCTTTATATTGCAAATGCAATGTTATTGCAATATTAGCAAAGAAAATGTTAGATATTTAAATACTAAACAATGCATTTCATGCAGTATGTTTGCAGACTGTTGTTGTTTAATGTGGTTGTCATGGTGTAAAGTCAATAAGAAACTATCATTGTTTTCAGCAGGAGAAACTATAAGAATGTCTTAAACATAAACGTTAAGATTAAGTAATCTTTCTGTTTTGTTCTTCAGTAGCGACTCAGTATCAGATACTCTAACCTAAGGCTGAGGTAAGAAAAAAAAAAAGTATTTTACATGTTTATTGATTAAACTGAAAATAATGATTGTGAACGCCACAACTACTATGAAATAAAAAATAAATAAAAACACACCAGGGGATAGAAATACTAAGAATTATTATGTCTCCAGCGTCACCAGCCGTATTTCGCTGCAGATTAACAAAATAGGATGAAATGATTTTATTACCGGTATATATTTTTCAAGATGGACTAAAGTTGTTTGTTGTGATGATAAGGAGGCATCTAATGCAGGCTGCCAGGAGGGCTTATATAGTTACATTTTTACACCAGTCTATGTTTTTAAATTCATTGCGTTTTATCACCCCTGCCAGTTTCCTTCGAAGAACTTAAGTGGAAAAGTTTTTGATTGATGAACCCTCAGATGTTTTAAAAGTGAACAAAATACAGTTTAAAAAATGGCCTGGTTAAACTTCAAATATGAGAAGGTTAATAATAATAATAATTCAAAGGGCTGATTCTGAATTCATGAAAAAGTGGGAAAAAAATAAGCAGTCAAATCTCATATTCTAAAAAAACAAATGTTTCCATAAAGCTCTGATAGTTTTGTACGACATTTTTTAAAGCTTTTGTGAGGAAGATGTTCTTCCAATGCAGGTGCTGAAAATAATCAGTCTATATCAGTTTTATTTGATCTGCAACCTGAGAAATTAGTTGTATAACTTTGCTGCTCCACCAGCTCACATGTTTGAAACACAAAAATTAGAAATATCTTATCCAGAAGTGATGCAGAGAAACTAGTCCATGCATCTGTTACTTCAAGGCTGGACTATTGTAATTCTTTACTATCAGGAAGTCCACAAACTGTAGTTAAAAGCCTTCAGCTGATCCAAAATGCTGCAGCCAGAGTTCTGATGAAAATTAAAAAGAGAGATCATATCTCTCCTATCCTGGCTTCTCTTCTTTGGCTTCCTGTTAAATCCAGAATAGAATTTAAAATCCTCCTTCTCACATATAAAGCCTTAAATGGCCAAGCTCCATCTGATATCAGAGATCTGATTGTTCCTTATGTTCCTAACAGAGCACTTTGCTCTCAATCTGCACGTTTACTAGTGGTTCCTAGAATTTCTAAAAGTAGAATGGGAGGCAGATCTTTTAGTTATCAGGCTCCTCTCCTGTGGAACCAACTACCAGTTTTAGTCCGTGAGGCAGACACCCTGTCTACTTTTAAGGCTAGGCTTAAAACTTTCCTTTTTGATAAAGCTTATAGTTAGAGTGGCTCAGGTTATCCTGAGCTATCTCTATAGTTCTGCTGCTATAGGCTTAGACTGCTGGAGGACATAGGGACCCCTTTTTAATCATTCTGCCTCATTCTATCTCTATTCTCACACTCTGCAGAATCTGTTAGTTCAATCTCTAACGTTCTGCTCTCTCTGCTTTTTCTCATAGTAGCTTCATCTGGTCTGTTCCTGCTTGGCTGTGACTCCATCCTGGAGAGAAATATCAGCTGTGCTGCTGCCATCAAAACCTTGTGAATTGGTGCCATAGAAATAAACTGAATTGAATTAAATCACAACTATTAACCCCGTTGGGATTTTGAAATAATAAATCCTCAAGATCGGTGGAAGTTTGAAGATTCTTTTACTTTATAATTTGGTGACATTAGAGCAAAGATCTGCAATCATACGTCTGGATGTCGTTATCGATATAACATTTTAGCTATTTCCTTTTATTCATTGCTACATTTGTTTATTCATCATCATCATCACTGAGGTGTTGGAAGCTGACTAGATGCGTTTCCTCCTTCTGACGGGTCTCAGGGAGCCAACAGTTTGTGCGTTGCTAGGTTTCTATCCCTTTATATTTCACTCTAGCTCCCCTTTGTCTTCCTCCCCTCACTCTTCCTCATGCTCGAAGAACTCATGGCAACAGACGGTAACCACGGAGATGAATGTCATGAACTCTTGGAAGTTACACTCAGAGTCGCCGTCCGCATCCAGACCCTCCATCAGGTTGTCCAGTGCGGACTGGTCCTTAACGTGCTGGAAGGGGGGGCAGATTTGGATCAGAAAAAAACTTTTAATGTTGGAGAGATTTAAAAGTAAACAGTTTGTCTCACCGCCATCAGATCAGGCAGCTCGTCATGAAGAAGGTCCTTCAGCTCACTCTTCTTGAGTTTGTGCTTGTCTCCTTCTCTCTCTGAATACTTCTGGAAAACTGAAATAATGGTTGCTATTGACGTCTCCAGGTCAGTCATTGTTGTCCTTCAGGCGACCTTCAGACTGGTAAAGAAAGCGAGAAAAACATTCAATTCAGGATTCACTGCTTTAAGAAAACATCTTTTATCTTTTATGATCTAAAAAACTTTGTAAAGATTCAAACTTCATCATTGATTTTAATTATTCTAATAAATTTTCTCATTATAACGCTAATTAATATAATGTAATTCACTGTATTACTATATGATGAAACAGAGAATATACAGCCTATTGTATATGATCTGATACATATATGATATGATGCAATATCCTTTATATTATAGATATAATTATAGATAAGATTGTGTAATATGGTAATATAATGATATGTCACATGTGGTGATATGATTCATTAAAATACAATATGATACAATGAAAATGACATGCAGTGATTCAATATATATAAACACAATTCAATGCATTATGACTGAATATAAAAAAAATACAATAAGAAACAACAAAAATAGGTCGTTTGATAAGATTAAATGGTACTTTGATATGATGTATTACAATAAAATGTATCATTTTACATTTAATTTCTAAATAGACACAATATCTTACTGCACAATATAGCATAATAATACTTTTTTATTATAATATACAATAAGAACTATCATTTATAAGAGATAATACATTCTAAAATATTAGAAAAATATGGCATAATTTTAGATGATGCAAACATTCTATCATCTAATATGAAATATTATAAAGAATCATTTGATGAGATGAACAGTACTATACTGTTTATACAGTGAAGCGCTGCTAAAAGAATACAGTGTTGTACATAATGAAAGAAAAACAACAAAACATCTATTTTTATATATAGCAATATGATAATTCTGTGCAATATTATATATTAAAACAATAACATATGTACGGCCATGTTGTATATCATAAATGATACAATAGAGTAAGAAAAGTTACAATAAGATACAATATCACATGAGTTAAAATGTTTCCATTAGTAAAATAAACATTTTTGGTTCAGAAAAACAAAAAGATATGTTATGATGAGGTTGATAAATAAAACAAGGTAATCTAGTATGACAGAATATATATGATAAAAATAAAATATGATCCCGTTTGATATACAGCAGAAAAAAATATGATAATATAAAAGAGTTTAACAAATAATAGATGAATATATAAATAACAAACGTATCAAATATGACATATTTTCTTATATTTAAACAGATTAAAGTTGGAAAAACTCAGTCTCAGTATTCAGAGTAACAACCACGCCTTTACAAAAATTGCTTTAAGTGATTTTCAAAGCCCATAAAAATCCAAAAATATTACTCCATTGTTATATAAAGCATATATTCTGCAGTTTTTATCATTTTAACATAGAAAAGTTGTTAAAATCTTTGAAATAATAATGTTTGATCTTCTTACCAGTGTACAGATGCAAACTGATGCAGTTTTCCCAGAAAGTGGAGGCTGACGGTGCGCTGTAGGTTTTATAGACCGGCAGAGAGTGGGCAGACCTGAGGTCAGCCTTCCTGTGGGTCAAACCGCTGACCAATCCTGCCCCACCACCTCCCCTCACTCCACTGCATCTTTGCACAAACCAGCAGCACACCCTGAGAGCTCTGTCAAAGTCATCTCTGTTAAAATGTTTGGGTTTATACCTGTTTTCACAGCTGTTTACCAGACTCTGCTCCCAAAAAGTTCAAATCAGATGGATGTTTGTTATTCTAGGTTTTTATAACCCAGAAAAAAAACACAGATTAAGCACATATATAACAGTATTCCACTGGTGATAAAAGAAATGAAACCTTTGTCTGGTTTTAATCTGTTTGATCCAGTTCTACCTCTATGGACGTGTTTAAGCATCTGCTTTGCCACAAAGGCTCGTTTCAGAGGAAGTTGCTGGCTGTGCATGTTAATGAAGACGCTCTTTTCACAGCTCTTTTGGCCAGACGTGTGCCCTCCACCGCCCGGAGAGAGCAAACAAACAAGCAACCAAGCAGCCAGAAGTGGTGGCAACAAGTTTTCCCCAACAAACGCTGCAAAGAGAGAAACTCGGGTCAAACTGAAAACATATTTCTTAGAAAATATATATCTAAATGATTGAACTTTCTGGTGATCTGTGGGCATCATGACAGAGCAGGTATTCTTCATGGGTGTTTTGTTACAGGCCAAAGTCTTCCCTCCTCTGCTGCAGAAGCAGAGCTGCTGGTCTCCAGACAAACTGAGGCTTTGTTTGGTGATAAACGTTCGGCTCACGCAGACGACTGCTGGCCGTCTCATTGTTCGCCTCAAACAATCCAACTCTGTGCAGGGAGATGGACAAATTTACTGGAAAGCAGTGGCACACGATCCGACCCACTGGAGTGTCACGCTGTTGTTTTGGAGTTTTTTTGTTTACACGGGCTGAGGAAAATTTTTTTTCCATAAAATCCAGAGAAGAGGGAAAATAAATAATGTTATTTTCTAAATTATAATATGTATAATTTCTAAAAAACAAAACTTAACTAGCTGTAAATAATTATGACGATAAAGTTGGTCCGCTTTTTTTTATATTTCATAGAATCTTTCCATAAAAATGTAACATTTTAACCAAATTACTTAATTTTTTCTTAAAAAAGATATATTTTTTATCCTAATCTTAAAAAATCACACAAAATATTTTTCTTACACTAGTAAAATGAATTCATAATCAGTTTGTTAGCAATATATATTGTGTTATACGTATGGTTTTTATATTTTCTAGCTTTACCAGCTTTAAAATGAAATTATTGTTTTTTCCTTTGTGATTTAAAGCGATAATTAGGTCATAATAATAACTTTTTATCATTTATTTTAATGCACTTTGACCAGCCTACTTAGTTTTATATTAAAAAAGACTGACAGATCTCCATTTTAACTTTATGCTTAGGTAGTATTATCTATTATGTTAAATTTTAGATAACCTATTTTACTATAATTAATTTTTGTGTGTTTTTGAATTATTTGCCTACAATAAATCCATTTCACTTCTCTTTTTTTTGAGGATTTGGGATGTTTTCTTATTGAAATTGTAAGATAAACTTTCAATAATTATGTTTAAATATAAGAGGACAGACCCAAAGAGAAATCATTTACTATTTTATAACAATCTTACTACTATGGTAACACTTTTCTCACCTTTTTTTAATATAATTTTACTATTGCATCTCCTGTTTGCTTCTTAGGTTGCCTTATTTTTCTCTCAGGATGGTTTAGAAATGTGTAGAACATAAAGTGGAGTTTGATGTGTTGAAGTAAGTTCTTTATTTCTCAGCTCAGTCCAGTTTCTTCTTCAGCCTGCAGCCAAAACTCTGACAAACCCTTCAGCTCCAGCTCCTCTTTGTTCCTCTGTGTTTTGTGTCTCTTTCAGGATTTTCTCTCCTGGGAAACAGCCGAGGCGTCCTCAGAGCCAGCCGGGGCCACATGAGCTGAACCGTCTCCACAGCAGCCAGCTGGCATCTCCTGTCAGGCTGGAAAAAGGTCCACTGGGTCGCTGAGTCATCGCTGGGCAAGCACACAAAGCTTGCTACTGTTTTAGGTTATTTTGCTTTTTACTCTAAGATTAGAACGCTCTTTGTGCCCAATCCTGCATCATTTAGTTTATCAACAACTTTAGAGGACATGAGTCAGTCTATTTTAACTCCACTGGATAGAAATAATAAAAAATAAACCCTAAAAGACAGAAAGATTGTTGTAATTTTCATCTGTACCCCTACAGGTAAAATTACAAAATTACAATAAGGCCTGTGTGTTCTACAAATATCTACACTGATATTTTATAATAAATTCATCTAAATTGATCAAAATGTAATTGCCTTGGCTCTTTTGTAATTAATAATATTCTTATTTTTATTTTGTGAAAGGATAGGACTGAAAGATCAAATAGGGGAATAACAGATTTGTCTGGATGCTGACTTAAAAAAAAATCTTCTTTTTATATATAATATTTTATTTTAGAAAGGATCGGCATTAGATAGTTGTATTTATTCATAAAAATAACATTCAATCAGGTCAAATTAAACATTTGCTTTTAAACATTTTTATCCTTTAGAGTTGATGTTCTTTTTGTATCCTCTAGATGGCAGTGTTTTCAGTCAACCTTATATGGATCATTATGGTTACATTTTAATTTTCCACTCGGTTGGTTTGTTTATTTGTCACATTCAGCGTCATACTCTCTTTATAAATACCTGCTGATTTTTTTTTGCATAATTTTTGGTGAATTATTTGTTTTTTTTATCTCTATATTCTGTTTTTTGCCAGCTTTATCTAGTAGGCAGTGAATGCATTTTTTACTGAGACTCTACGTTTTAATTTAACCTTTATATTTATTGTGTTTTTTATAGATTTTCTGGATTTTATTGGTACTTTTTCCCATCTTTGTGGACATTTTTGGATGTTTTTGGAAAAGTATATGTTGATTATGACGATTGCTAATATGGCCACAAGGGGGCACTAGAGGACATCTTCAAAAATACCATCATTCCTCTGGCTACTAGATTTGTTCATTACTTTTAGGCCCAGGCTGCCTGTATTTTATGAAAAATGATGTGTTAAAGTCAGCTCACACATCTCTGCTGTTCCTAGTGCTGAAATATTTATACCGTCGGATCTTTTTCCATCCTCTAGAGGTCTGCAGAACATAAACACAGAGTTATGACTGCAACAAAACACCCTTTCAGATTATTGGTGAACGCCGGCTGGAGTAGAGAAGACATTAAATTATTATTTCATTTTCTTGTCTCCCACTGGACTTACATATCAAAACAAACCAAACAGGGAAGTGAAATGTAAATAGGTTGTTTACATATTTTATGAAAAATATGCCATTTCATTTGACTTTTACTCTTTCTGTATTTTTAAAATTTAAAAAATTCTGTATTCTTTTTTTTCTTTTAATTGTTTTTTTTTTTATCAACCTCTTGTCTCTTATAAGGATTTGTTCTGGGTCTATATCACTTTTCTAATGATCGTTTTCACTAATTGTAATCCTTTGCTGATCAATTAGTTTTGAACTATATATACCTCTTGTTTTTCATTGTTTTTGTTCTTTATAATATCTTTTCATCCAGGTGAAGTCCTCTCATCTGTCCTTAATATCATCGGGTATTTACTTTGTTCTCTGAGGCTCCCATTCGCCTTAGTATCACCTACAATATGCCTTATGTCATTGTACCGCTAATTTCATTTAATTGCATTTATCACTGATTTTCTTAAACATTTAAAGATAATTTTTTGATAATATTGCTACAAATGAAACATTAAATTCCCATTTATTATTATTTCCATAAATAAATGTTACTGAGGCTGTAGTGTGTGAATGATGTGCATCATGTTACCAAATATAAGGTGTTGTTTTATATGTATATATCAGTTATTAAGGGATCACATTTAAAGACAGTGATGCTAATGATGAGTGGAGGGTAACCTAAGTTTAGTGCTTTAGATTTCAGCCTGAAGCTTTAAGCAGAAACACTTTGTATTCCATTTTATCCTTATATGTTTCAGCTAATATGCTAACAAACTCTGATTTAAAGGGAAATTATTTCTCATGCACAACATTCACCAACATTAAGCACTGAGATAGACTGCATTAGAGTAAAATGATGAAAATATCTTCTTTTTTTCTAACTTTCTGCCTCGCTTATTACGTTCTAAAGAAAACCAAAACATTTGTTTCCACAGAACACTTTAAATAGCATTTGAACTCAGCTAACTGAATTTCAGCTTCCTGCTTAAGTAGAAACACACCAGCTGACTGCAGGTCTGCTTTGTGTCTGGATGCCCAACTTGCTCCATTTATCGGTCACCATGGCTACCTCAGAAGTGCAAACATGCAATGGTCCTCGGCTGCAGATTGGCCATCTCATGTCGCATCTTTGCCTAATCCCATAATCCTCCCCTGCTTGCACTCTCACCACCCCCACGATCGGATTAAAGGCTGCTGACCTCAACACATAGATACACACGGCCAACACAAACCTGCTGGCCTGGAAACCTGCTTCCGCCTTACAGACTGGAGTCATTCACCAAACAACTACTGTAGTATTATAAACACACCCCTGAAAAAGTAGAAGGACCATTATAACTCTATCTATAACCTATATTATTTTACAAGAAATTGCATAATCCTATTTGAATAAATGTGCACATACTTTTTGAACAAGTAAAACTTTGTGGAGCGGTTCTGGTTGAACCTTTCTATTCCATGCTGGGAAAAACAAGTAGCTGGAGGTGGACGTCTGTAGGCACAGATCCATGACACTGAAACCAGCAAATTCCAGGTACTGACACTGAGATAGTGGAGACTTGCACGATCCTGAGTGTTCACCAGAACAATCCTCTGGACTGTGGTCACAATGTGACAGGGCTCCAGTCTGTGTGTTTGTTTTTGTTGTGTTTCTCTCCCTTCCTCCAACAGGAGGCGCCTGGTTCCGGTCCGCCTCATCACACACCTGCTGATTGTTTCCTCGTTAACGGAGTGTTCTTAAGCTGATGATTGCCGCTACCTCGACGCCAGACTGTTTGTCAGTTTTGGG